CTGCAAATTTTCACTGGCTTCCCTAATAGATAGTGTCTTAGTGCATGCGATACAGCATTATTTTCAGTTCATCCTCGTAAAACTTTTTTTGCTGGGCTTGGTTAATTCAGTGAACGTAATGTTCAGTGGTAGAAAAAATATAAAAAGTTAACCTAATTATAAGATATTTTGAACTGATTTTGTCTACTTGCTTTCTCTGGTGGAATCGTCTAAACATCTAAATTTCACTTTCCATGCAAAATGGATGCTCCACACCTAGCAATTTCATCGTTCCGCAAAATATTCAAAGAGCGTAAAAATCGGCTGTGATTATCCCCCTTATGAAGTGTTACGGAACGCTGTCTTTAACGATACTTTTGTCTATGAAAAAATGTCTCCTGAACCACGCAAATGCACTAATCGTAATCTTTGATGAATTTTCTGTCGACTAGTATGCGTTATTTTCCAATTTTCGGGGAAAAAGTGTCTTTGAGGTTTCGCGAGGCTAGACCGGCCCGATCGCCTACCGTGGGCCGGTCGGAAGGGAGGGGACACGAGGCGATCGGATCCATCACACAAGGCCGTACGTGACGGACGTCCCGTGGGGCCCGTGATACTGAATACCAAGGCCATGGGCGCTGACCAGACGGAAGTCATCGACGGAAGTTCACCATCGAATCCACCAATCCCAGCACGAGACCCTCCACAAGCGCGGGCCTTCAAACGGCACGTGTCAATTGATGCCGTTCCTCGAAAACCACAATGCAATCAAAGATACGTAATGCCGGCAGCTTTAGGTTCCCGATTGAACCAATCGAATGTGTCGGCGTCGTCTGCCGGTCCACTCTGTCAGAGGGTCACTGGGGAGTGGGGATGGTACGGGAGTGAATATTGGAGGCTGGGACGGCAAAGTCTCCTTTATTGGACCGAGGCGGGCGGTGCCCGGAGAACCGGACGGTGTCGAAAATCGACAGCCGTCCGGCCGGCCGGCGCCAGGGGCTGTGGGGCGCGGTCTCTCGGTCGATCCGACGATGGCTGCCACGAGCGGCCTACGAGCCACTTCTCCGAGAGATGCCAGCTGTCCGCCGCCGTCCAGCCTCGGACAGTGTGCAGTCAGTGTGTCAAAGCAGGTCATCCTAGGGCCACTTAACCCCCATCCCCTCCCCTTCCTCCATTTTACATTCACTGAACACATTTACTGGGCGGAGTGTCGACTGTCGAGTCCAGGCATCCCCACCAAATTCAGCCGTCTTCTAAGGCAAGACAAGCCGTTCCATGAGACACAGCTCCCTATTCTAGCCTCCTCCCCCAACCGTCCGAGTGTTCCCAAGAGACGGACGCCGCCGTGACCCACAATGACATGCCGCAGCCATCCATTCCACCAAGCCACTGCACCAGTCGCCGCACCAGAAATGCTCCGCCATGACGGCACAATACTGCAGCGGGCCGGCCAGTCGGCTCCACTCCGCGGCAGTATATCAGCCATAGATCGTATAGCCTGGTCTGAGGACAGTCTGGGGACAGACTGGGGAAAGGCGACGGCCAGCGACAGCGAAACATTGAGGTTTCTCGTAAAACCCGGCTGTCCTGGGGAATAGCTCGGCTCTTCTGCCAGTGCCGAGTTGCTGAGATGAGGCCGGTTGGTCGGGGCCCATCACTCTCTGTGCGGGGGGCACGGGAGTGCTACACTGGGCGACAGATAGGTTATCGTCGGTTACACGGCGTACCCGCAGTCACAAGGGCGCAACGGCCGTGGCAGGTGGGTGACGTGGCACCTGATCGTTATCAGGCGGTTTAATCGCAGCCCGAGTTTGAATGGGATTGGACGGTGTGGAGTGGGTTATCGCCGCGTTAGAGCCGGTGTTTGTTGGGGCGAGTAACGATATGGGTCGCAAATGAAAGCACATGACTCGTGAGCGGCGATAAACTCAAACCATGCGGCGGCGGTTTTCTTGTTTACAGCCCACTCCGCCGGTAGAACTGCTCACACAACATCCAGAGAACCGCCTGGCGAGGCTCCGACGGCAGTGACACGCCGCTAACAAATGGCATCATCGCGGCGGCAGCAGCGGGCAAACACATCCATCATGAGCCGCGGCGGCGGGCCGGCCGGCTCATACCGCGCGGCTCTGCGGTGGCTGCCGAGTGCCGTGTGTTCCACGTGGGGGTCCAAGGCCCCGCGGGTCGCCGCCCGCTACACTGCCACCGTGACCCTCTGTCCCCACTCTGGCAGGGCGCAGGTGTCAGACAGACAGACAGACAGACAGACAGACAGACAGACAGACAGACAGACAGACAGACAGACAGACAGACAGACAGACAGACAGACAGACAGACAGACAGACAGACAGACAGATAGATAGACCCACCGAGCTGGAGACGGTGGTTACGGTTCGAGCAGTGACGCCAGCGCCCTCCAGCGGCCAAAACAACGGAGGGCGCGTCGCGCCGGCCGCAAACTATCGGCTACGGTAGCGGGCGGGAGGGGCGATGCTTCAGATGTGGCCGTGAATGTCGCGGCAGAAGTGGCGAGGGAGATGCCACTTGGAAACGTATAGACTGCTGGTCTGGTTACTGTCCTAATGTTCAGTCCAAGGCAGTCAAGGTCAGAACACACAGCAATGCATGCGAATTGTCTAAAAACGACGGAAAGAAAATACTAGCTATAAACAAAGCACTCAGCAGTGTATCCCGTGGTTGTCACGAGTCCACAAGTCCATGAAGCATGAAACGGGAATGTGATACTCGTTAGTACCCCAATGGCCGCAACAATCAAATTAATCACCGGCACATCATCAGCCAATCGTTAACAAATGCCCATCAGGTCACTAACCGGTATTGAAAAAGCCCCACAGCACGACCTTGAACTGTTTTGACTCACTCCAACTAGTTTGGTGCTCATCTGGTAAAAAGACCACTCAGCGTAAGATTACGATATCTGGGTCTCAAAACCATGGAGACCAGAAGGTCCATCGAAAATTTTCGGAATATTTTAACGAGTGAAACGTTCATCAATAAAGGGGCCGATCCAGTTCCGTCCGATTTCCAAAAACGTCACCATAAGAGTGAAAGTCAAATGCCAAAGCCTAGCTACTGTGACCATAAATTCAGCACTTTTGAAACTCTAACCGCTGGGCTAAATCCAACCCCACCAATGACGTCATTGGATCAGCATGACGCCACCGTCGTACGTACGAGGAGTGTCGCTGCCAGGTGCAGCTGACGGGATGGGAACACATCGCCGCGACCTTCCCGACGGAGCAGAAATAAACACTCCGCCCGGGGGCGGCCCCATCAGTCACACGGCGGTTAGCGCGGCCGGTGAGCGATCGTGAACGGCGGGGAGTCGGAGAGAAACGGTACGGTCATCGGACACATGGGAGCTGCAGAGTGGATAGTGGGAGAAGGTTGTGGGCAGTAGAGGGTTCACGTGACTGATAGCTATCAGTGGTAATCGCTCCAAGGAGGATCGATGTTGAGGGTCAGGAGGGTATGACAGTAAAAGACAATCCACAGGAAGCTGGCAATGACAGAGGGCACGCCATACCAGGATGAATGTTTCAAGACAGCCATCGCAAACAGCTCATTTTCAATGCAAAAACCAACATGCCGGGAGAAGGGAATGCATGTAACACCCAAAACAATGGAGAGCAAATAAAGAGAAGACAAATTAGTGCATTGGTAAGGAGAGCATCCCGAAACATAGCACAACGGATATATTTCGGAACAGAACATCTACTTCACCAAAAGACACTAACGCGCGGACGAACGGATGGAGCAGTATGTAGAGAAGGTAGAAGTCAGCCGGCCGACACGGAGGGAGAGAATGTCGGGACAGGAGCAGCAGGGCCACACCGCTCACGGTACAGCCGTACCACACACAGTACGACCGTGCCCCTTACACAGTAGGTGTGCCACACTCAGTACGACCGTCTCGCCACGTCCGACCATGCCGTACCCAGTGCGGCCGTCCAACGGGTCGCTCAGTGCGGACACGGTCGTCCGCCGCCGGTCTGTGCGGACACAGTCGTCCGCCGCGGATCGTAGTGCGGACACGGCCGTCCGTCGCCGGTCTGTTTACGGAGCGCCCCGGGGGAGTCGGTCTGTGTCACACCGACCGTGGGACTGTGACTCACAGACGGCCGACGCGGCGCCGGCGTCCCAGCTGCCGCCGGCTGTCAGTGCACCAGCGAGGAAGGCAAAGAGCCACAGCACGAATGGCACAGGCTCACAGCACGGGTGGCACAGACTCACAGCCCGAATAGCACCTACCATACAGCACAGACGGCACAGACTTCCAACAAAGACAGCAAAGAGCCACGGCACAGCCGGAACAGAATCACAGCACGGCTACCAAAAAGCATGGGCGGTACAGGCTTCCACAAAGCACAGCTAATGCGAGCTTGCAGACTGACCTGCAGACCACAGACTCGCCGCCAGACCAGCTCAGCTGGTGCAGACTGGCGTCAGACCGACGGACTCCCACCCCGGCCATTCCGACTCTCAGACAGTCACCAGCCCGTCGCGGCCAGCAAGCAGTGCACAAGGACGGCTGGGACCGTGCAGTGCACAGCTTTTGAAATCAGTAGCTCCACAGTGCCGCCTACAACGGCGGTTTGTCCCACGGAGCGGATTCACAGGAAAAGACGCAAAGCAGTCTTAGGAGTCGGGAGCACCAAAGTGTTCAAACGAAGCGGGTCGCAACGAGAAGGAAAAGAAACACTATGGGAAATGTCCGACACGGCAGGCAGCGTAAGACACTATTGCATGGCATGCAGAGGATTTGTTTGTTTGTTTATTGGGGCTTTAGGGCGCGCCGACTACTAAGGTCATTTTGCGCCAAGCATGCGGAGGAGCTTCCTTGCCGTTGGAACAGACAACCCGACACTAATGATGCAGCTCGAATGGTCAATGACATCACTGGAAAAGGAAATGCTATCATGTACAGCTACATCCGGTACCACCGGCTAACTCGAACCTCCTCTGCCGATAGCACAGAGCTGAGAGTTCGACTCACTGACCTCAGAGTCACCCGGTAATCCTGACAATGCCGCTGCCACTGACGGTCGGCAGCGAGTCAGGCAGGGAGCAGGTGGTTACACAGGCGGCTGGCTGGTCCTTCTGATCTCCTGGGTGCCTGGAGAGCAGCCAGATTCAACGGCGAGAGGCAGGAGCAATCGCTGCGGTCCGGTCCGGCTTACTGAATACAGTCTCCGGCAGCACAGGGAACGGCGAGTTATCTGAGCTGGACCTCACTGAATATCACAGACCACTATCGCTGGTACTCAGCAGCAGGCTAGGGCAGTCAACGGAAATCACCGACACCTTGCACCAGGTCACTTGACCACCAGGTCACCGTCTCCGAAGTGCGGTCAGGGCACCAACGAGCGCGTCACCAGGTCCCACCTGACCTCACCAGTTCACCACTAACTAATCTGAGCACCACTAAACCTCCCACACCCTGAGCACCAGCCAGCTCCGACAGCACCGACCGGCCGAGCGACTGAACGCAGCCGACCGCCCTTATCGCCGCCGCGCCGCCCGATAACTCGTCCGATAGGTGCTTCCCGCCGACACCGCCAGGCGGCAGCACCAACACCTCTCCGCTACCAGCCACAAACGGAAACGGGTTGGAGGATTTCACAGAACTAATGACGGGGCCGGGGGCGGACGGGGCGATAAGGGGGTCGTAGGGCAGGCAGTAGAGCGGACTGTGACCATTTAAGACCCGGACAGCGGATGACCGGAGCTATTAACCCGGACCGTGAGTAACATAGGGAGATAGACCGCTTCCGAAAACCATGCCAAGTGTCACGCAGAGGGAACAGAAAGTCGGCAGCGTCGTAAGAATCGCTATCGAACAAGGAATATCCCTCGTGAGGAACTGAAGAGTAAAGATTGTGGCCCAAGAAGCCCCAGAAGCAATGAGTTGTTTCCTGTGTAAAGAGAGACACGTCCTTGTTTGTTTAGTTAATGGCTGACGTCCTAGCACACGCTGGTGCAGAACACAGAACCACGAAAGACAATTGTGCCCGTTCAGTGACTGGTGTACGGTTCTAAGGGTCGTGAGGGTTGGACACACAAAGAAAATATCAGCACCTGCCCCGGGAATAGGCAGGGAGGCTCGCCTGCCTGGCTCAACTAGCTTGCCTGACTTTGCTACTTGCCTGGCTTCCTCCCATTCGTCGATGTAGAGGAACTCCCGGTACACCGGCCGGTAGAAGACGAATTCTTCATCCATGGTCGGCAGATAATGGAAACAGTGAGTCGCTACCTCAGCAGTCACCTAATGGGTGTCTTCAAATGCACAAACTTCACTGCACCATCGGCACTACCATCACCAGTACTGCATCACCACCGTCATCACCGGTATATCACCAACGATGGAGCCTCAGCGAGCCCACAGAAACACAGCTCTCCGTGTGGTTTCAGCAATCAGCCCCACCACAGCAGATAACAGTCACCGGGTGGCTACTGCTTCAGATACAGTGACCAGAGACAGCGTTTAGTGCGGCTGCCAGAGGTCCATCCGCCCCCTTACACTTTCCACGGTGAGGGACATGAGCCGACTGAGGCACGAAGATGCACTATCCACTGGCCCAAGGAGGCAGCAGTCCCAGCAGGGCGTCCACGGTGGAGTCTGGAGCACGTCTGACCGCCTACTGTCCCCGAGCCGCGGCAGACGTCCGCCGGAACCGGCCACTTCCGGTCACAGCGGCGATAGGCGGCGCGCTGTCCGGGGACTCGTCTATCTATCGCTGGTCAGCGTCAGAGCCTCCTACCGCCTCATGGGACCGAAACACCGAGACATATAACACACAATGGCTCCGGCCACCGTCACATAGTACACCCTGCTTGCTAGCCTGAGTAGCCTTTCCTCTCCAGATGTCCACCGCTATCACGCAGCCTGCGACTGTCCATCCAATACTGACAAACGAACCCAACCCCACTGTCCGACTGTCGCTGTGCTACTGAGACCGGGGCAGCCGCGCCCGTGTGGAGCTCCGCCATCCGGACGCCTTTTTTGCATGGACCAGGGCGTTTGCGGGCTGGTTTGCAGCCACCGGAGAGAGACAGTGCCGGGGTTTACGCGGTAGTGGCACGGGGCGACTTGTACCGATAGTGACACACTGTGGGACGTTGGTTTACAGTTTCGATATCCAGCAGCATGGTGTAGTTGGATGGGATGTATTTGTTAAAATACAATTTAAAATGTTGATGGCATTGCCACGCTAGTCTAGTTATGTCTGTTAGTGTTTGTGCTGACCAGGATTCACCTATTCTTGTCAGAGTTGACAAGCACCAGAAATACAATCAATCTAGTGGGGCTTTTGAGTCATGCTTGGAAAAGTTTTCAGTATCTTGCCTGTGAAATATAATAATTACCTTACCAATATACTTACACAGCACAATAACTTGTATTCACAGACTAAAACAGAGCCCTGCATCTGGCACACAACACATGCTAGGTATAGTGAAAAGCATTGGTCTGAATGGGTCCCAAATCCCAGCAGTCCTTACCTTAGCAATGAAGATATGCAGTTCCACTTGGGGACTGGAAGAACAGCTGATGTTTATGTCTGGAAAATGGGGGAAATAGGCAATAATTAGTCTTCATTCTCTGCAGCAACTAAAAATTGTGTGTAATGATTGTTACCAGCATGTTTAATAAAAAGTTCCATCTTACAGTGACTTCAAGTTCAGAAGAAGTGACATATTAAATAGGAGCTGAAAACCTGGCTGAAACTGCACAATGACCATGCTTAGCTAAGCTAGGATATTTTCCTAATCATGAGGTATTGCAATTTCTGCATGTCATTAATCTTGCATATTCATCTGAACCTCTGATGTTAGAACACACATCTTCAGAGAGACAGATCTTCTAAATCAAACAACTGTACAAGCCAGCTCTGAGCTCGGCCAACTTCTGTTAGTTGAGCTGGCTTTAACCAACAGATTCAGTCTATATGCTACACCAGCACTCCTATTAGGTACAACATTTAACCAAAATGTGGCATTAGCAGACTTTGGAACGTAAACTTTATAGCCCTGGCTGGTGTGGATTTGGATGATCAGCCTGGCCAGGGAAGTTGCTATGGATCCCTGGCTGGGTACTGGTGGTGGTGGGACTAGTCTTCTTCTTTCCTGCAATACTTCTCTGTGGTCTTCTGACTTCTGCTGAATGCAGTGTTGAATACCACCATCAATCTTACAAAGTAAATCCAGGCTGTAAAGTACCTACCTATAGCAAATTTGATGGAAAAAAATTTAGTACATGATGGCTCAACCAGTCTGAATATTCTATAATTATCTCCCTATTTACTGTGGCACAGTGAATATTTCCTTTAGAGCCCAGCAGGCTCCACCCATATGAATCAGTGCTGCACTGTGGGGGCGGACAAAGCACTAGCAACAAGACAATGATGTGTGCGATACACTGTGACTTATGTCATCAGCCAATGAGCAATCAGCCGCTTTTAACAAATTAAACCATTCACATATGCAGATACCAGAATGGTACCTACTTCAACTTGCACATTTTCCGCTATAATTCTCAGGAAGGTTTCGGTGTGGGCTGGTGTGGACTGTGGATTACCAGCATGGTGCCAGCCAGGGTAGTGCAGCTTATTACACATGGCCACTTTGCAGGAGCAACTCTGGTGCCGTAACCTTTGTTTGAAATTCTGAATAGGTACCAAGTTTCTCGCATCAAAATTCAAATCATGCCACTGAACCATGCAGATGACTTGGATGTTTTTAATTGTACATCAGGTGACCCCAGTAAGCTCTTCTGGGAAAACCCTAAAAATAATTAAAAGGTTTACTCACCTGGTAAATGAGAATGAGAATACAGGACCAGTAGGCAGCAAAAGACAAGTAATTGGAACAAAATCAAATTCAATGAATAAGAATGAACGGAATTTTCAGCACACCCACTTTCTTGCAGATTGATTATTTTCGCTCACACAAAAATATTGATCTCTGCAATGAACTCTGCCACTTAGATCACAAAAAATAAATATTTGTAAAAATATGTACTAGTAAAAGATCGCTGTGTTATGTGAAATGATTTGAAAATGACGTCATATATCTCAAATTGTTATACCTTTCACTCAATGCTTGTGAATGGTCTATTTTTACCTTAATACGTCTATGACTAAATCTTAGTTCATTAAAGTTGACATCTTAAAAAGGTAAAACTCATAAATTCAAGGCCATTAATTCGTGAAAATCGTAACTAAAACGTGAAATTTGCGAAAAATGTCTAATGAAAATAAGGCCACCCTTGTTGACTTCAAGGCTGTTGGAAATCCTAGTGCCAACTAAAATATTTACCAAATCATTTTCAAATTACGTCATTTACCGATAAGCAAACTAAAGTGAAAAATATCGACAAACCGTGTTTCATCGTTTGAGATTAGGCCAAATATAGAATGATAAAATAAAAGGTAAACAATTTATTACAGAAATGCTAAATAAAAACGCTGATTCCCGCGCTGATTTCTTTCATGATAAAAGATAAATGGTAGGTGCTGCCACCTAGTGAACAGCTGTCAAGTGCAAATATGAAAGGCCAGTTAGGTGGCGCTAGCAGATTTGACAGTAGATGGCTCTGTAGCCAGTGGGTCTTCGTGTTTTTTTTTTTCATAGCCAATAATAAAGTGCGATGTTGATGTGTGCGAGTGATGCGACTAAGCAGACTGGTAATGGTTTGCTGATCAATGAAAAATAAGTATTTCGCTGTGGTCAGGTTATTCAGTCTCATACTACGACCCTTGATAAGGTTGAAGGACTAACGGGACTTTCTCACTTTTCAGGCTCAGCTTTCAAGGGCTGGAGCCTTGGGCTGGAGGCAGGTACCGTATCTCCTTAGAGGTCGTGCATCTGTTCCACCAGATACCCACCGGCGCATAGGTAAGTACATATTAGCCGTTTTCACGACGGGCTTTCCGGCGAATGCACCTGATTTGACCAAAGCTGCACCTAATTTTTTACAGCAAATATCTTCATTTTATGAATTTATTTCGGTGTTTTAAATTCGATGATGCTCTCTGATAATATGACAAAGCAGGCATATAAGCAATTAGTGCAACCCTAGCTGATAGCTGCTAAGAGACACACTGAACCTGATTTGACCAGATCTGCACCTAATCTGTACCAGATGTGCACTAAATGTGTACCAGATGGCCGTCGTGAAAACGGCTATTACCTACGCACCACAACCAGAAAACGAGGAATCCCTTTGTTCATTGTAATTTTGGCTTCACACTCCAGAGGCTGGGGGCATAGCCATTGCATGCAATAAAATATTCCGTTGGCCATGTCTCCCTGTCCCACCGAGCGTAGGTAGTCGGCCAATGTTAGTGCAGTGGTCGAGTGTGGAGCGGACCCCATACCTCTCGTGACTTGCCCTGTCCTGTTGAGCAGGCCAGCCGAGGAACGGTTGAGCAGTCTGAGCAGGGAAGACTGGCCCACTGACCACCTCTAAGGAGTAAGGTTACGAGCTGACACAAATGTGGCCTACACAATTACACATACTTATCTGTGGCGCGCCAGAACAAGGTGGTTGACCTGTAACACATCGACGCGGCCGGTAAAAAGACTTCGCCTCCACCTCGGATCCTGGACGATGAAGTGACTTTGTATGCTGTCGAAAAACGGTGATAGACGACAGGTCAGTAAAAAAATATATACAAAGATGCGATATGGTAATGTATGTGTGCTCGTTCTAAGCAGTCCACTTGCCGGCAGTATGGCCAAGGTAACTTTCTATTTGCAATCCGTTTCCGTTTGCGGAAATGAATTGCGGAAACGGAAACAAGGCCGTTTGCGTTCCAAACGACTTGAAACGACAAAAGACGATCGTAATAAGGTGGCGAAGTACTAGAATGAGCAGCATGATTGAATAACGTATAGAAGAATTGGTATAGTTAACTTTTGAACTGAAGAAGGAACGTTTCCGAAATATATTCATTCATTTTAGACTAATTTTGGACTATTAAAAGATAGTGAGCATACGGTTATTCTTCTACGTTATTCGACAAAAGACGACTTGAATAGGTCAAGTGAACAATTCCGATAACCATAGCTATAACCATAAGGTGCGATAACCATAGCTAGCATTCCTTTTTCCGCAGCAGGAGCTCTGCCATCTACCAAACTAGAGAATAAATGCAAGTAACGACAAATCTCTCGCTATATGCTCCTTTATTCTTCTCAACTTACGCTAGCTTTTCTGAGCTGGCCGACAATAAAACTGCAGAAAAGTTATTATCCCTTTGTGCGTGGCAAAAGCTCATTCGTCACCGTGTTGATGGCAAAGGCAGCTACCGCTGACAGCGGCAGCTTCCAAAGTGGCCCATTCGTTATTAACGTTGACAATAATTCCTAAACGCGCCGGGAGCTGCGCGCTCCGGCGGGACTCAGATTGCGGGATTTCAGAGACCCGGAACCGTTTAGCACATTTGGGGACCTCTAATCGAATGTCCTTGTTGCGTAAATCCCGTAATACTGTTGACGCTTATTCCGCACAGAGATCGCGGAACAAAGAGAATCAGCGAGCTTGTTATCTGGCGAGGCCGCAGCTTTGGCAGACGATAACTGGCCGTAATCCTCACAAAAGCAATGCCGTTATTATCAGCGTCCATTCGGCGTCATTCTCCATATTCGCCGCTCGGCGCCGCTCATTAATCGTCATTGAGTTATCTGTGGCAGGCCAGGCCGACCTCCAAGAGCAGGATACACGGCCGAACGCGCCCCCGGAGGCCGGCGCGCGCCCCCGCGGGAGGCACTGCCGGCGGCGGAATCTGGGTCAGGGCGCTGAGGGGAGGAGTTTGGCCACTTCCTGCGTGCCCCTCTGGCCACATCTCCCCGGACTGAGGACAGGGGAGGATGAATCACGCACCGCCCTGTCCCCTGGGACCGGACGCGGCGGCCGTGGACGGCGGCTATGGGGACGTTGCCGACCGGCACGTGTCACCGCTGCCGCCCGCGGGTCTGATCCCACTCCCCATAGCCGGCGGCACGTCTGCCACCAGTGTAAAAAGGACCACTGATTAATACGGCACGGCGCACAAAGCCAGCCAACTGCGTCCGACCCAGCCCCGCCTGCGAGCGCCGCCGCCGCCCCGCGCGCACCGATAATTTAACGCCGTAATGGCTCACTGATCAAAGAAAATTGCATCTCATTCAGACGGCTGATTAACCCTCGCCCTGGCAGGGGGGGGTCGATGCGACCCCCCCCCTAAGGTTTTTCGAAGATAGCGTAAAAACGGCGGCGCGCAGCGCCGCCAAATTTGGCACAGCTTATGGGGCAACCTTTTTACAAATGACCTCAAAATTTCAGGTCCGGGTGACCTTGGGTCAGGTCACCAGGTCAGAAAAACCGGTACAAGGTCATGGTCAAATTTCAATTTTCTTTTTGCACCTGTCCAACTCACAGTTTTGGACTGATTTCCTTCAAACTTTCAGGATGTGCTAAGTTCATCGAGTTGTATAACATATAGTTCGGGTTTTTTGAGGTCACTGACCTGAGGTCAGTTAGAGGTCATTACGTCGTAATGTTAAGCCTATGGGAAAATACTAAATTCGGAAAATACTGGAGATATCCGCTTCGTTCTATCACTTTTGTGCTTTGAAACCACAGTTCTTAACAGCAGGTCACTTGGTGCTTCTTTGTTTGGCGTACTTATCCATGGGTCAGGTCAAATGAGGTCAACTGAGGTCAAATGACGTTTTTGCCAATAACTTGGCACATAATGACGCTAGAGCTTAAAAAATGGTGTCATTGTGTTCCTGGTGATCAGCCGAATCGAATGATATGCGATATGATGCAATTTGGTTAACTTGAACTTAATTCATTATTTTAAGTTTACTTAAAATTTAAGAAAAACTTTAAGTACACTTAAGCAAGCTAAAAAGTATATCATTCGACGCGCCTTGACGTGCTGAGTTCACTGGTGCTTTTCATTTTGCTCTATCTTAATTAGATCAAAAGTTATAAGCGAAAAACTTTTCACCTGTTTTTTAGCGAAATTTTTACATTTATACCCCCCAAAACCCCCCTAAATATTGACCTAGAGCAACCAAATTTGCACAGGGGCGAGAACTCCGGGGGGCCCACCTACCTACCAAATTTGGTGTTTCTAGGTGCCATAGGAGCCAATCGCGAGGGGGGGTCGCATCGACCCCCCCCCCCTGCCAGGCCGTGTTATGAAAAAGGCCCTGCCAGGGCGAGGGTTAATAGACGAAAGTGGGGTTGACATCCCATGCGGTTTAATGGCTCGCGCCCTAAAAATGACGCGTATTTTGGCGCTTGAGCGTTTTTAGCCGGATTAGAGAGAGCTAAAAGCTAAATGTGTCTCTTAGAAAGCTTGTAAGATGGAGAACTATTACTCAAACCCGCTTTGATTGAATAGCTACTGTGGGTATGTAGGTACTCATCGCTACCTGCCTGGTCCTACCCTACCACGTTATTCTACATAAGCGGCTCACCGCAGGCGCCGCGCCAGAGTGACGCAGCCCTCGCTGCCCTCCCCGAGTCCAATCACGCGTCTCCGGGAGCAGTATGGCAGCGCCCGCGGCCCGGACAGGGTCGCAAATTATGCCACCATTTCTCATCTGCAGGTACGCAGTAACGCCACGTCCCGATACACTTCTCAGTTGACAAAAACAGCTCTTCAAGGTCCGGCCGGCCGGCGTTGCGTCAGGTTTTGACCTTCGGCTGAGCGGGCTGGGAGGCTCGCTCTCCGATACGGGGAGCTGTTTTTACGGCGTCGGTCCCACAATACTCCGTGCTTCTTTAATTAACGGCTGTTGGGCTTTATTTATCGACGATGTCTGCAAAACGGAGGCACACCGAAATTACGCAGCACGCAACCCCGCATGGAAGGAGTCATTTGCGAGGCGGTTTATCTACCGTGCGGGGTGTTTTTGTGTGGCTGGTGAGGTATAATTGTGCCAACTATTGATACAGGGCTGTGGTTAGCTCCAAGGTGATGTGAATCTCATCACTGGGGAGTGGCGGTTTGGCGGCGGAGACGAAAGAAACGCCTAGTCTCTGGCGTCTCAGGGTCGCTGTTTGTGCCGTACTTGTGCGTCCGATGACATACGGGCCGTGCTGAATAGTTGCCCGACTGGCACTGTCGCAACGAGAGCAGTGCATCACCCGGCGTTATCGCTGGCGACGATCCAGATTGTAAATCAGCGCAGCGCTCGTATTATTTCACACCGCCGGCAAAATCAGCCAACGAGTCTCACTCAATCCTTCGCCAAACCAGCCTGAAACAATAACACTTCATCCCCATTGGTCATGGCTCGGTTGAGTTTCATTATCCTCGGGCCAGCAGTCCAAGCAGGCACCTCTCACCCGAGGCACGGGCTCGGGCCGGCGGCACCCACCCGGCCGGATGTCCGTCAGACGGCTGCACGACGCGTGGGAAAGGTGACGGACGGGCGGCAGACAAACCCAGCTGCCCTGCCCCGCGCGGACAGGGTGGTCAACCGTCAGACCTGTGTCACGGCAGACCGTCAGACCGTCTGTGATCCGCTGAGGACGGCAGACGGTCAGACATGTGACCTATCCGCGGGACTCGTGGAGCCGGGGACTGGGATTCATCATTCGAGAGGAATGCAGCTATACCGATCGATATGGTGAGCTACAAGATTTTTGTAACGTTCATGAAAACTTCATGATGATGGATAACCCCTCAAAACTAAAAGTAGCTGTAAAGCTGCAGTTTAACTCAGATCAGCATGATAAATTACGTAATTGTTGCTTTCACCGTGAAAATCAAATAAATCGCTTGCTCCTTGCAGTCAGAGCAGGAAGCCCGTTTGATTATGAGTAGCCTGACTTCCGCTGATATGACGCTGTCGGCTGTCGCTCCTGACACCGAACAGGTGCAGGGGTCAGGTCGGGTCACCACCTCTGACCCGCCGACTGGCCCACTAACCCGTCCAGGTCTCAGTCTGCTCCGGTCTGGCTCAGTCTGGCCCAGCAGCGGCCTCGGACACCACGCTGGGGCAATGTGTGCGCGGTGGGAGCTCGCCACTCTGCTGGCCTGCCTGCTGTGTCGGTGGTCGGCCGGGCAGCATACGTCTGAGGTGAGCTACGGGGTGCTGTGGGTCAGGGGTTCGGCTGGGTCGGGTCACTGTTGACAGTATGTGGACGGTGATGTGTCCCATTCACGCTGGAAACTGCCCTGAGCTGGTGTTATACACACACTGCGCATGGAGAAACGCCACACTTATAGACTGTGCCGCAATGCATACAAGAAAACGGCGCAGCATACCTTCCCTGTCGTGAGGCTATCAGCTTTATAGCTCGCAAATAAAAGCCTTGGGCCATAGCATGTGAAAGATAAGTTGTCAATGTATGTCTGCATTTAAAAAGAAGACACTGTGACCTTTTCTGTACAACAATTGTCTAATTAGGCGCCCTATTCACTGTTGGCGCAAGTCTGGTGCGTCTTTGAACCCCTCGCAAATTCATAAGGTGTGACGAGATCTCTCCAGTCCAAGCTGGCTTAAACAATTGATGCTGCTGTTGGTGCCCGTAAGGCGTAAGGGGATTTTCTTGGCGTGATATGTGAGCTCCGGAAGCGGCAGCCTTGGCAAACATTTCGCAGTCACACTGTAATTTAGCTGGCTTTGCAATACTGCTACATTCAAACGCGGTACATCATTTGCCTGGATAATTTAATAGAAAAGCGACTGATTGCATTGCCGGAAGTAGTCTGAGCCCTCTGTAGGCCCTCGTGTGAAGCTGCAATTTTTTCCGATCCCAGGCTAAGGTTTGTAAATATCCAGAACGGTTCCCAGTTTGTCGAGCGCTGTATTTGATGTAGTATTGGGTTTGATGCAGAATCTGAAAATGAATGGAGTGTGTTACACGCGGTCATGGATGATATAATAATATCTCATGATGCTGTGAAAGGTCCACCATTTCGCTAGGTGTACCTATGTAACAGGGCACATTTTTATCTTTCTAACTGAAGAGAACATATTGATCATAATTATGGGCTGTACTTACCAACTGGCACGTCTGCTAGCACCACAAATCGTGTCGGTTCATAGGCCCGCCACATAAAGCCTACACTTCTGCACCACTTCGCGCATTGCTGCGGGGTTGTGATGTGACCCCACATGTGTTCCCCAGGGCACATCTGGCAGCAGCCCCCTGTCCGTGGCAGCCCCGGGACCGGCTGAGATGCAGGACATCCAGAACATGGTCCGGCGCACAGTGCGACAGATTGTCTCTCAACTGGATCCCTCGGCAGAGGTCGCCAGCTCAGGGTCACGGACCAGAAAGGTCAAGGTTAGTCATAGGTCATCAGGTCAGGGAGATCAGTCAGGAGGGTCAATGTGTTATTAGAAGAGAGCAGCATTTTCCAAGACATGGATTGAGAGTGCTCGAGTCAGACAGAGATGTCCCATGGATCGGGAAGTTCACGCGATCACTTGAGGCTAAGGAGCGGGTGGGTCGATCGAGGTCAGATAGAGGCCATTGATTCTAGGTCACAGACCAGAAGGATTTCGGTAAGGCAGCTAGCTCCATATAGACTTTGCCACATGATCTCCTGCCGCTGTTGTCCTTCGAGGCCAGTTCAGTAAACGTTCACTGACAAAATGCTGCAATACAAGTACTGTCTGATCTTTCACTACATACGTCTTTTTCCAGGATTTCACGCGTCAGTTCCACGTGGGCACCAGCTGCCACGACATCCAGCTGACTCAGGGTGCTGACCGGTCGGGGGTGTACCTGGTGCACCCCGCCAACCTGGCCCAGGGGCCGTGGAAGGTCTACTGTGACCTCGAGACGGAGGGAGGCGGATGGACGGTCAGTATTGGGACTCAGGGACAGTGCTGGGTCACAGAGACGGTACTGGGACAGAGGGACAGTGCTGTGATGAAGGGATAAGGCTGGAACTGTGGGAAAATAGGTAACTGGTTCAGGGGATGATTTGGGTCGGAGGGACGGTACTAGTCCAGAGGGACAGTATTGGGACAGGGGGACGGTACTGGGACAGAAGAACGGTACTAGTCCAGAGGGACAGTATTGGGACAGGGGAACAGTACTGGCAGAGGGAGACGGTACTGGGACAGACAGGGACGGTACTGGGACAGGGGGACGGTACTGGGACAGGGGGACGGTACTGGGACAGGGAGACGGTACTGGGACAGAAGGGGACGGTACTGGGACAGGGGGGCGGTACGGGGACCCGCAGTTGCTACTGTACACGAACCCCAACTCTAGCCGTCTGTCCTGTCCAGTAACAACCGATAACATTGATATCGACTGCCGGTCCCTGTACAAGAACAGCTGAGGTTTTCTGTACGTGCCCTCTGACAGCTTATCGTTGTTCCCTGTGAGGGTGCTGGGACAATTTACTCAGGGTCGCTGTACAGTAGCAACTGCGGGTCCCCGTACTGGGACAGGGAGACGGTACTGGGACAGGCAGGGACGGTACTGGGACAGGGGGACGGTACTGGGACAGGGGGACGGTACTGGGACAGGGGGACGGTACTGGGACAGAAGGGGACGGAACTGGGACAGGGGGACGGTACTGGGACAGACGGGGACCGGTTGGACCGAGATAGAGACGTCATGTACCAGGCTGTTTGAACTAAAACGGCTGTTTCTGAAATCGCCACGCATTGGACGTGGCAAGTTGTACGAGTCACCCCTCTCAACACATATATTTAGTACCTACTATACATGGCTTTGTCAGACCACCGGAGTTATGCTTGTCCGCAAAGCTGGACACATTTTGTGTAAGTATGTATGTGCGTATTTTCGTGCAGGTTTTTCAAGTGAGGGACGACGTGGAGCCCCATGAGAACTTTTTCAGGAACTGGGAGGACTACAAGGTCGGCTTCGGTGACTTCGACAGGGAGTTCTGGCTCGGTAAGTTTAAATACTCGCCTCCTAAGTTTGAATAGGTAATCTTTCAACCTTCCATGTAGGTTTGCATTTATATGAGATGCGGTCAGTGTATAAATGCATAATGCGTCGCCTGTATGAAGTTAAACGGTCCTATTTCACCGTCTGCTGTCAGGGAACATTCTGATTTGGGCGCTGACAAACGTTGACAACAGCACGCAGTTCGAACTGGCCATCGACCTGGAGGACTGGTCCGGAAACAAACGCTTCGCCAGGTCAGGTCGCGTCAAACGCTTTGCCAGGTCAGGTCGGGGACTAACGTTTCGCCAGGTCAGGTCGGGGCAGACGCTTCGCAACGTTAGATTGGGGATTAACGTTTCGCAAGGATAGCCTGGAAATAAAATGCAATGCACCATACACGGCACAGACATGACACAATATTTGGGTGTCATGTTTCCAGATGTTTTGATCAAAACCTAGCATCACAGAACCTTGGTAAATTGACTTCCTTCGTTTGAAGCTTGAGATATTTTTTATAAAGACATTATGTGCCGCTTTCCCTATAGAATATAGACACTCTGCGCTACCCCACAACATTTTTTTTATAAGCATGGTAGGCGTATTACATGGTTTTGCGATTAGGTACCTACGACTTACGATTATGCCGATTTCCTTTTAGCAAATATCTTGTTCAAACAAAATCACGCAAGCGTTCTGCTTTCACCTGAATACGATTGTGATGCAATATTAGGCTTCGTTAAATCAATCATTTTTGTTTGATTTCAAAACAATTATGGAATGATAACAGCATTCACAACTGCGCACATTTATCAATTATGTTTGCACAGTGGCACTGCGCAAATATGAGTCACTTGACCACGGGCTAAGCAAATTACGCGTCCCTATTATTTCCATGCGAACTTTATTTATCGCTGGCAGGCTTGCAAACTTTGCGGAGCTGCGACGCAGAAAGTGGCCACTTGTTTGGGCGATGCAGTAGTTAGTATAAGTATGTCCTTCCTTGGCTGCATTTTCGGAATTGCACTGTGTGTGTGAGTCAGTCAGGTGTTTGGAGGTGATTCAGCCCGCAGTTGGTATTACGCATGGCCCGATATCGTTGATGGACAGAGCTTAACGCGTCGGACGTCTTGTGGTCTTGGTGAGCAGTGAGCACTGAGCAGTGCACTAATCAAGGCCGCACTAATAATCGGGAGATTAAAACGGGTGATACACAGAACATAATACCTACACATACATACATAGAACTACATGCCAAAACATAATGCATGTGCTCTTACCGATGGTATACCTAGGCCGAATACTTTGCAAACCTGTCGTACATATTAGCTCATTCAAACCACAATTAATTTCACTTTACCCATTAACATAATCCTGCCCTGCTGAATGCTTTTACCGTCGTCAGGTACCGCGGTTTCCGGCTGGGTCCCGAGCGGGACGCCTACCGCCTGTACCACCAAAACCTCTACTACGGCAACGCCGGCGACTCGCTCTTCAGCCACAACGGCCTGCCGTTCTCCACCTTCGACGTGGACAACGACAGCCGGCGCGGTAACTACAGCGAGCGCAGCTGCGCGCGCCTCTACAAGGGCGCCTGGTGGTACGGCAACTGTCACGACTCCAACCTGAACGGCTGGTACCTGGGCGGCGCACACCGCAGCTTCGCAGACGGCGTCAACTGGTACACGTGGACCGGGTACCAGTACTCACTGCGGCGCACCCAGATGAGGCTGCGGCCGCAGAGCGACGCGCCCATACCCATCGGACAGGACACGTTCATCCTAACCAACCGAGCGGGCAGGGGTGGGGACTCAGGGGAGCGGGTGGATGTGCCGGAGCTGATGGGGCCGGCCAACACCCTCACCAGACCATGAGGATCGCTGGACACTGGGGGTCCCAGACTCTGAGGTTCACTGGACCCTTATAACTACATCACTACACCCTAACCTTTGAGGACCCTTATTGAACCCTGAGGAGGGGCTACAAAGAGCAAACTTCTGGAAGTGGATGAACATGCTGAATCTGCTGGGGTAGGCCAATAGACAAGACGCTTACTAGCCCCTAATGACGGACCTCCAGCATGGCTGCAGGGAACAGAACATCATTTTATGGAGATATGTGGTTGCGACATGCGATGCTGCCCCATCGTTGCATCATTTCTAAGCTACGCAACATTACATCAAGTTTCTATGGTAGTTACATCAGTTGGTTATGATTAAACATAGTTGTCTGCTCAAGATATTGTCGTCAGAATAATAAATACTCGTTCGATAGTATGAGTATTTATCCTTGTTTAATAAGCCTCTCCGTAAATATGTGACATATAATAATATAAATATGTTTGTGACAACTGACGCAAATTTACGCTTGAGGTACTTTAACCCTCGCATGTGTAGGGGGGGAGGGTCGGATGGACCCCCCCCATGGTTTTTCGCGAATAACTCGCGTAAAAAGCGGCCGATCGCGACGAAACTTTCAGTACCCTCGCATTGATCAATTTTACACCTACCCTGAAAATTTCATGACCCTGACCCAAATGACCTTTGACCTGTGACCTCTTTTCCGAGACCATGTTTGGCCGGAATCGCGATTTCGCGTATGTCGGCTCGCACTAGCCGCGTGTTTGCAAGCTTTTCGTGGTTTCAAACGTTCAAACATGTGATTTGATGTTACTCCCGTGTGTGTCAAGGTCACCTGAAGGTCAGGTCAGGTCATTGACCTTTGGTGACCTCGGGTGACCTCGGTTCACTTTTTCGAGTTTTACATGTTTCTAGGCTAGTTTTTGGAGCTGAATTCGAATTTGGCAACCATTTGAACACTTACGAAGTAGTTTTGGTGACTTCGTAACATGTTACGAAGCTGTCAGAGGCGGTTGACACGTACTACGAATACCCGTCACGACGCCTACTGGTTGACCTGACCTGACCTGACCCGACCTGGTCTAAATGCTTCAAGACATCATCTGTGATCAAAACTAACACGATATTCGTGATCAGCACCTCGAAAAACCCCTTAGCAGCCACACTTTACGACTTTCTAACAGGTCCCGATTTTCCCGACTTTGGGTCATTGACCTGACCTGGAAGGTCAACCAATGACCTAGGACCTTAAAATTGGGTATCATCGGCTTCCTCTCGTCACGGGCAACACGCTCGTTTTTTCCGCGAAGCTCTAGCTCGATCAGGGGCCAAACGGCAAGGGGGGGGGGGTCCAACCGACCCCCCCCCCCCCTACACATTAGAAGCTGGCAAACGCCGCACACATGCGAGGGTTAATCTTTCATCCCGTTTGTTGGCCTTCAGGATTAAGTTTGGTCTTCCGTCATATAAATATCACGGCATATTTCTAAAGTGTAATTGCATGTGTTTACACCGTTATCATTCCTTGTCTCATCCTTCTTACGGCAGAGTGATGCATGTTGTTGGAAAATCCACCACTTTTCCGTGTAAAGATAGGGAGTATAAAAACACAGACTTCGAATGATAAGTACGTTTTTAGATCGTTTATCCTTATTCACGAACTACATAAGAGTACCACTATGGAGAACTGACAACAAGCGGTAAACATACTGTTTGTTTTACTGTTTTAGCAGTGTAAAATGGAAGAAACCGTAGCAACAGGGTGCATTGTTATAGTGCGATGCATTGTCCTCAGCTGCATATCAATAAAGGGATTATTAACATGTTTGCATGAGTGTTAGTATGTTGAATGGTTTTTAGCACAGTTTTGAGAGACATTATGAATATAATAAGAGATATTAACCCGGCCGGGCCCGGGGGGTAATCCCAACCACCGCAGCCCGGGGGGGGGGCGTTTTTCGCCCCCCCTGTCTAACTCCGTAAATAAGGGAGCTACGGAAACAAAAGCGATACCAAACGAAAGGTCCTTACGAGACGATTCTAATGCACCTAAAATTTTTGACCTCAGGTCAATTTTCAAGGTCAGAGGTCAAGGTCAAAGTCCAAAACCGGCACATGTGTAGTGATCTCAAAGTAAGCCTTCTAGAGGACGGCAGGCTGCATCAAACCGGCAAAATTGGGTGTCAAACGAAAGAAGAGAATCTGAGGATTTCGAAAATGTGCTCCAAATCAAAGGTCAAGGTCAAGGTCACGCTCAAAATTGACCTCAAACTTGGCACTTTTTCGCACATCTTGCGTGCTAACTTCCAAGATGTTTTGAAATGTTTTGAGGCTTATCAGTTCCCTATTTGTGGTTCATCTTACGATACAAGGCTGCTCAAAGGTCAAGGTCACAGAAGAGTATCCCTGCTAGAGGCTATTTCACTGATTCAAGTTAGTAATAATAAATAAGACAATTTTGCCATCCGGAAGCTCTAAATGAAGGCTTGGAGGAAAATAGATGCCAGATTCGTGATCAGCGGGTACAAATCCATCATAAACGACCTTTCATGTGTCAAGGTCAACCAGAGGTCATTCGAGGTCACATGAGGTCAACATGAAACTTGACCTTTTCCGAACAAAATATATATCATTCGACGCGGCTTGACAAGGCGAATGCGATGGTACCACTGCCGTAGCTCTAGGACCATTTTTGTCGAAGTTATTTGCGAAAAACTAAAACCACATTTCGGGGTCGTTGACCTGACCTCTGACCTCAGGTCACCAAAACTATTTTTCTATTTTTCTCTAGGTCAAATGCTACACAGCCGTGCTCGTAATTTGTCTTTATCTCTAAAACTCTATTTTTAGCAGCTATTTGAAGTTTGCGTCTGTGACGCCGATTTTTGCCGTGCAGGGGTCTAGAAAAATGGACCTTGTGACGTCATCAAGGGGGCTAGGTCCAAATTTTTTACTTCAGAAGATGTCAAATTGATGGGAGAAAAGGTACTGAAAGTTTCGCCTTCCTATCCCTAAGTGTTCGGGAGTTATCGCAAATATTCGCCAGGGGGGGCGAAAAACGCCCCCCCCCCGGGCCCGCGAGGGTTAACCTTACTCTCATATTAGCCAAAAGATATAAAATTTCAAAAAGACAAAATACAGTTTCGGGAGCTTTCGGCTTTGCGCCTTTATCAACCGAGTGTGAGTATGGTCTGAAAATATTGTCGCAGTCAGGCACAAGAGCTTTGCTGGGGTCTAGATGCACCATAGTTTGCTTCATACGCCCTCATGGCTACATTGGGTGAGGGGTCAGTTATTGCTGGGCCCTCGCTTATACGATCCACATCGACAGGCGTGAGCTGTGTGATATAGCCGTCACTGTGTCATCATAACCCCTCCTGTGTCACCCCTGTGTCATCGCTGTGTCACCGCTGTGACGTCACCGTAACGGCACCGGCTGTGTCACCGCCACCGGCTGCCGTGTGACGGTATAATACGGAAAGTCCGCCATTTACTGCACACCTGGGCCGTCGCTGTGACTGTTTGATGGGGTAAAAACCGGGATGATCCTCAGCATATTCACCGATAGTCAGGCACGGCTAATCGAGCTATTTTTATGCTCATTTTCAAGAAGTCTTGCTAGGTAACTAAATTTATATAGATGCATGTAAAAATGTTACAGAGGTTATAATGGAAAACGATTATGATCACGGAGAAAATTCCCGTTGATTTTTTCCGACGGGTTTGATTGTTAGCCCTGGGGCCTCCGTGCCTGAGGCCAGGCAGTTTGAGTCACGCGCGGCCACGTCACTTTTGTACCTATTGCGCCGTTATGTGGCCAGGTGTTGGTCGCATTACGATCTGACCGCCGCAGGGGGAAGGGAAATGACACAGAGGTGAACCGGAGAGGTGGTATGCGGAACGGAGCTGAATTGAGGGACAGTCGACAGTGCAGGATATATGTATGTTGTGATTGTGTAAGGTAGGTGCACACATCTCTCCCACCTTAGAGTGAGAAACATGTTTATAGCTAAAGTAAGATTTGATCATAGGTATATGATCAGTTATGGTTGAATGTAAGACAGTTTTCAACAAAATGATTGCCATAACAAAGGAAGCAAATAATTAAATGTTAAATGCGTCACGTAGCGGTCAACAAGTCGCTGTAACCCCCCCCCCCCCCCCCCAGCAATCGCACCACGAATCGTGACTCGTTGGTGGTGCTGACAGGGTGATATGAGCTCATCAGAGGTGGGAAGCCCGAACGTTGTCGCCACGTATAAAATTACCTCGCCAGCTGATGGGCTGGCCGCGCCTGCTATCATTGCATCGTACCTTCTCCCATCTGTCTCTCCCTCTGCAGCCAGAAGGAAGAAAGCACAGAAGCAAGCAAGCGCAAAACACACCGGTTATTACATATTTTCACGTTATATTTCGCCTCTATACAACACTGGAGCTTCTGAAGCTACTGCAGCCTGCCATGGCATAGCTGATGTAGCCGATAGGGTTCATGTCACAAGCTTTGGAGGTAGTGCGGTATACTGTCGAGTGCTGGTGAACTTCTGAAGACGCTATAGCACTGATAATGGATTTTGGACCTGTCGTGTCTCCGTTGTAAGCTGAGGCGGCTCGGCTGGCGCCCGGCTGACGCCACGGCTCGTGTCGAATTTGCCGGGTATACTGTGGAACTGGGCGCCGATTTCACGCTATTGCCTGACGGGGACGTGGTCAGGTCCTGCTGCCACCTGCTATCACTGCCCGATCCGCCACCGTCAGCCGGGCAGGCGAGGCCACATAGCGACAACACCCAGTGGGTTCAAGGGTAGATTAGTACTGGGTGCAGCCAAGTTGGTGGGCCAACTAAAAAATTTTAAAAAAAAAAGCCCTTGCTTTTTAGCACTGTTCATACCAGTGATAAGTGGCGACCACCAAACGGCATACCTACTTCTCATCACCTTTTGTGTAGCACCAGTGTATTGTATAAAGCTATCCGGCACATCCAGCTCCTATGTTCCTTATCAGATCGCATACACAAAAAGAGCCAATTAGCTCCTACAAGCTGTTTTGTGGGCCGTCCCTGTACGATAGCGGGCCGCCCTCCCAGCCCGACCCGTCCCCACATGCACACACCCATCCTGGACGGATAACTGACAACTTATTAACGGTCCTGGCCGGGGTGTGCCCTTCCGAAACATAAAAAACAGCCAAGGGTTTCACGCATTTGTGGGGTAAAATATCAGCAGTTGCATGCAAAAAGGTGTGGCACTATGGGTGAACCAGTTACAGCATGATGATATATATGTTACCAACCATATGATACTTTCACGATTAGTCAAATGATACCCGACAACATGCCTCGGTTGATAATTCCTTACTCACCCTTCGATGGCTTGTCCCAGTACGAATAGACTTGCATGGCAAAGTATGGTAGACTGGGTAGATACAAAGGGATCAGCGGTCAGTCCCGGCTGAAAACATACACCTACGTGACGTGATGTCAGGTTTTACCTTGATGACCTTCGCAGTGCTAGTTCCGCCCTACGTCAGCGTTCGCTTATGTTTCAGTTATTAGCCAGATAATAACGTTCAAAACAATGGCGCGCCCCTATTGTTTTCAGCTGCTCCATGGTAATCCAGCGTCACTGGCACTAACGGCTACTACCCCCCCCCCCCCTCCCCGGTCGGACATTCCAAGCTGCCAGGGTCAGCACTCAGCACTCAGCACTCGGCACTCAGCGCTCTGCGCTATGAACTCGGCGACTGCAGCAAACAGCCAGAGAGGAAACGACATTCCGGAGAGTTAAATAGCTGCTTTAGTGCCTATATTAGACCTCATTCCGACCAGACCGGGTGTATTTTTGTGGTATCTGCTTGTTATAAACAATCATAAGAACAACAATTCTTGTCGAAGGTGTATAATGTATTCGTAACAAACGATACAACTCTTGCACAATCATACAAAATTACAAAATCGGACTAGATACACCGTAAATCACGAATAAATCGCCATCGAGAAAACTGTACAGCTTTACCAGCATGGTTTCTATATACAGTGGAGGTATGACATGCTTGTCTTCTGTAGCTTTCTCTGCCATCAATGGTGCCGGACTTTGTATGTGAGGTACTCGGAGGTACAGGCACTCCGCCGTACCTGTGTCCCAGTGAACCTGGGAACCATTACCCGAAGGTGTCACAAATCTGCGCCCGCTCCCCTTGAGACGGGCGACTCCCCAACTCCCTATATACACCGGGAGATCAGAGAGCTGACCAAGCTTAGACTCGTTGCGTACAAAAAGTCCGTGTACAAAGTTCGGACAGGACCGAGGCTACGGCATTGCACAAGTTGCGCGGCCGGACTACTTCTCGCTGTGGAGGCACATGTTGCGGCGCGCGCCAGACAAAAATAGAGGGCCCACTGCCGGGCCCTGGGGCACGCCACCGCCGCGGCGCGCGGGGAGCCCCGCTTGGCGTCACAAGCCTTGTTTTAGAGGCGCCGGACATGGGTTTACCGGCCGAAACACGTCAGTGTCGCAGTGCAAACGGGCGAGCGCGGCGATCTACGAAAGGCTCGCGCCAGTCCACCGAACTCTGAGCGCCCACTGCGCCACTGGGAGGTATACAAATCGTCCAGTCTTACCGCTAACACCGTCCGAGGGACCGGCGACGTGCACCACAAACCTACTCACTACAGCGTACATGGAATGGGACGCGACACGCCGTGCGCGTCGCGTCCTTCCGCAGGTCCCTACCAGCCGTACAGCGCCGCGCGCACAACCAAACACGTCCAGAGAACAACATAACGCGACAACCAAACACCGAGACCCACCGCTCACAACAAACAGTCGCCCGGCCAATGCCCGCCAATGATAGCACGTCCGAGGTAGGCGTCGCCGCTTCAGGCCCGTTCTCGATAGAAAGAAACAGAAGAGATTGCATCAAAATCACCACACCGCGTCGTCATATGGCCGCCACCAACGCACCGAGAAACTGCTGGGAAAGAGCAGCTGAAAACTCCCCTTTCGCTGGCTGACTTCTCAAAGGCCGGAGAGGAATTATCGCCTCCGTCAAGTCAGCGACAAATGTAAGCATCGGCGCAGTGCGTCAGCAGCGACGCAAATGAGATCATTTGGAAAATAAATACACACACAGGGCTACTCCGCCCTGTCAACGCTGCCCCGGCACCCTGGCCTTCCCCTCGCCCCGGACCTCTCCACACCACATCGACTAGTGTCAATACATGGCCAGCACTCGCCACCTCCTCTCCTCCACTCCGCTGAATTGAGTATTTCCATCGTGACACCTTCTACCCTTCAGCCACTCAGAAACGCTACTGCCGCTTCGATAAGAAAATACGGCACCAAAAATACTATCGTCTCATCAGGTCGACGCGGGAGAAAAAGCGCACCGGTCCATGCCAATGAGAAGGCCGTCCAGTGAAGTGCTCCGGATGTGGGCTACACCACAAGAAGGGGTCTGGTCAGAGCAGAACAAACCACGGACCAGCCCATCGGCCCTCGACAGCCAGCCGTTCCCACCGGAGTCGGCCACAGCCAGCCAGGTCATATGTACAGGGGTGTTTGTACGACCGTCGTCGGCTGACCTCGTCGGTGACCTCGCCTGACCTCGTCGATGACCTCGCCGACGATCCAGCTCGCGTCGTCTACAGGTGCAGTCGCAGCTCGTCCAGGTCGTCGCAGGTCAGTCCCAGCGCGGGGAACATGGCCAGCGGGTTGAGCAGCGCCGACTCGCCCAGCGCGGTGACCTCGATGTCGCGCAGGTCGGCGCCGATCTCCGGCTCGGGACCGAACCCGTGCAGCGGGTCCTCCTCGGCCGGACGCAGCTCGTACTCGTCACCAGGCCGAGCCGGCAGCTTGTACGGCACCTCGGGGCCGCTCAGCTCGCACTTGGGCTCGGGCAGCTCGGGGCTGAAGGCGGACTGGAGCTCGGGACTGAAGGCGGACTGCAGCTCGGTCTGCATGTCGACGTGCAGGTCGGAGGGCAGCTCGGGCGGCAGCTCCGACTCGTAGCCGCTGGAGGAGCCGATCGAGACGGGGCTGCACGGGGTGTGGAAGCGAGACGGGCTCGCCAGGCAGAACGACAGCGGGCTCTCGGGCGGCGCCGGGCTGCCCAGGCTGACCCCGACCGGTCGGCACAGCTCCATGACTGACTCTGGGCCGCGCTCAGAGACCGGCTCGCAGACCCAATCCCCGGTGGAGTCCGCTCGACGGACCGCAGCGCGCTCACCGCCCCGTGCGGCGCGGCTCGCCGGCCTCTTCTGAGAAGCCTTCTTTGTCGGACTTCCTCCACCGTTCAGCGCTGCCGCAGACGCTGCCTCCTTGGGCTGTCCCTTCTTGCGCGGCCGGTACTTGTAGTCGGGATACTCGATCCGGTGGAGGGCGACCAGCGTTTTGGCTCCCTCTGTGAACGGCTCCTTCTCTTCGCGACTCAGGTCCTGCCAGAGCCGACCGAGCGCCTTCGAGATCTCAGAGTGGTTGCAGTTGAAGTGGGTGGTGATGTGCTCCCGCTGGATCTTGGCGAACAGCATGAACGCGTTCAGCGGCCGCTTAGTGTGCTCCGGGTTACGGCGGTCCTTTTTTATCTGAGGAAGACAGAAAGACGATTGTTAGATGAATGTTTGTGAAAGCCGCGGTAACACATAACATAAAAGCGTGATGTGGAACATTAAATCGTAACATTACAGGAGTGGATGATATAGTCATGGTCAAACACAAAGTGCCGCGTATTCAATATTCGAAACATGCCGTTTATGAGTGTTAACATGTGATCAGCTATCAATAGATTACATGCTTATTACTGATAGCATTGAAGTAATTATTCTGTCTTTCCAAACAGGAAGAGGGCGAAAACAAATTGATATGAATGTAATTATCCCTCATGCTTTTAAATGCACCTGCACGTCAATGCAGAACTTTGTATTTTCGCGGAATACAGTTTAAAGTGTTTTCACAAATAGTGACTTAAAGTAATCCCACACCCAACCCATCACAAAAAGTCACCCAGCCTTGGCCAAACAATGGTTGTCACTTTAAAATAGCCCCAGCTGTTCGCACCAGGCTGGGTCTGGACGTCTGATCCTTTTGGATGGTGCTTGTCATGCCTAGAGAACCCTGCCCAGTGCCACTATAGCCCAGACGAGAAAGGAGCGCTGGAAATAGCCAGTGCTCACAAGCCCTTCGTCGTCTGGTGGGCCACTGTCAAATACACCACCATTATGTGGATTTCGCCGCGAATAGCTATGCGAACCCATTGGGGCCGGGTTTGCCAAGTTCCGCCGTTCTCATTCAGCCGTCAGAAGTGACGGAGCGCCGCACGGCTCGGCTCAGTGACCCGTCCCGCCCACTGAGAGCGCGCGGGCGATAATCCGACCCCCCTCCCGCACCCGGCACCCCTTCCGTCGGCACCCTCCCCGCACCCCTTCTGTTCGCCCCTACCCCTCCTCGCACCCGTCAGTCTGTTCTCCACCCTCTCTGCACCGTTCCAGCCGATCTCAGCTCCACCCAAGGTAATTGACAGAGTCAGGTGAAAAATGTACCCGTTCGGCACCGCTGGGTCTGAATGGAGTGAAGGGTCGACTCGCTCCTTCGGTCCCCACGTGGTGGTCAAATGGGGACACCGCAGCAGCGCCCTGTAGGGTTTCAATCGCCGACTGAGAAGGTATGTCAGGTATAAAAGAACCGGACGTTGTGGCCATTAGCGCGACAGTGGCCGTCCGGATACATGGTGTCTGTAGATTTCCTGGACGATTAGATTATCTCGCCTGATACCATCGCAAGTCTCATACATTGGTCGTCTGCTAGACCACACTGTTTGTAATTATTGACTCGGCGAGGTACTTTCCATGATGAGTTCATGATAAACAGGGTGATGATGTAATATATCACCGCAAGCATAAAGCACCAGGGTATCATGTTCTTCTACATAGCGCATGAGTGTTGAATAATAAGACAGCCTGCCCCTTTCAGCTTAGTGGGAACCGTGGTAATGTTCCGGGAGTGCCCATCAAATTTGGTGTATTACCTTTCGGAAAATGAATCATCAGGTATTAAAGAAATTACATCTATAAAATTCAAAAGGAGCGACCGTTTAAATACAACTAGAAAGCTGCAGGTAATAAAGAAAGGCTACTGACAGCAAAATATTCGCTCTGTATACCGGAAATAGTTATGTGATATTTTCACTTTTCCATATTGGGAACATTTCTAGTAAAGCATAAAACGCACCGGCGCCGAATAATAAGTTTGAAATAAGGATGCGGAGGCCTTGTAAAGCGTCATCCACTTACGTCACCGTCATTTAAGTCACACTGTTTCATCCATAATATTTCATCCTGCGCATATCAATTTCTCTCTGAACAATGCACTAATTAATAGCTGGCCATATTTTCTGACGCGCCTTTGAACAGCTATCGCCTCTATCGACCATCAGGCATCAGCTGCAGCAGCAGCTTCTTTCCGACCGTTGCGAGCCCTCACGGGCGTTGGACGATGGACGATGGGCGATGGGCGATGCTCCCTAACCGTCCTATCACTCCTATCGTCCTCATCCCGTAACCACCCGACTGACCTTCGACAGATAAAATAACGAAATATACACGGACGCGCATAAATACTGTCGGAATGGGTACGGTGATTTACGGTGTATGTAGGCCGTAACTCTGAGCTGCGTCGGCTCTGGGACGTTTACGGTCGGGCAGTACCGCCCCGTCGACCAGACTCCACCCTCGGAGGGCGAGAGCCGTGAACGGGAGAGGTGAACAGGGGAGTGGCGAACCGAATAGAGCGGACCGATAGCGGTGAACTGACTGAGTAGAGCCGGGAGTGACGAACCGGCTGTGGTGAGCGTGACGACCACAAGCCGGTTGTGGCGACTGGTGAGCTGATTGTGGTGAGTCGAGTGTAGGGAAGGAGCTCCACCCAGAGCGGCTGTTGTCAGGCTGGATTTTTAGATGTGCACATGCACTTTATTATGCATGTGCAAAGCAAAATATGGACTGTACTTCTTTCAATTTATCCCGTAGGTACCGATATCAAAACACGAAGCTGTGCAGTGTGTAGTGATAGACGTGATACAAATTTTGGCGATTAACGGTTATCCGTTATCGAGCGATGCAAAAGACATGTCACTGGAACCTCCTCCTCCCATATAAACGAAAGGAAGAGAGAAATGTCCCACGATCACGATGGGCCTACGATCCCAGCACGGACGGTAACCGTCGTCACCTCAAGGCCACCGTTTTGGACGGCCGGTACCGGCACCAACCGGGAGGTGGTTCCTGCGCTCCCCGCTAGATGGCAGGAGCTGCACCTCTGCCGGCCGACAGGCCGTGCTGTCGCCAGGGAGGAAGGGTCGGGGTACGGACGGCGGAAGAGCGGCAGTCGCCGGCGGACCGCCGCCGTGGAAGGGTTGGCATGGTCGGGTCGGGGTCGATGAAGTAATCGCAGGGCGACGTCTCTAAGGAAAGTCAATTCCGGGAGTTGCTACCACTGAGCGAGGTTCGAGGGTAACAAGAGCACTCTCAAGTGCGCATTGTCATCGCCGATGTGGGCTAACTATCAATGACACTAATTTCAATCACATATCGCTGACGACCTACCCCAATACTGTGATAGTCTGGCCGGTTGTTTGGTTCTGTAGCCGAGTCGATACATCTGACCTGGCAAGTGACATCGTTTTAACAACATTTTACGGGGCCAGGCCTGATGTCAAACGAGTGAAAATAGTAGTTCCCAGCTGGGCTAGCGGCACCAATATCGTTCGCGATAATAGGCACCCATTGTGACCCCTAGCAATGATGACTAACTCGATGATAAAACAAGTTGTCATTAATTTTCGCACCAACAAAGGTTGTTAGCAAGAAAATCAGTGACATAAAATCACGAATTTCATCAACCCTTGGTATTGATGCAACAATATAACAAATAGATATAACATAGATATAGTGCTTTTGTTTACCATTCCTAATCATCCATATCCAAATACCTGAATGTGTGAATAGCCAGGACCTAGCCATAGCCAAAGACTATCTATTCGTGCGTTTACACACTGTCCGCCACTATCGTGCGTTGGATTCCGTGCCAAAAATGCTTCAGTCATAGATAAGTTGAGGAAATACACCATACAGTCTGACCAGTTGGCGTACATAATGCGTTCGATTCAGAATTATTACACGAAATCCGTTGACTTAATAAACAATTTGGTTGCGACTGAAACCGTTTAAATTGTATTTTGTTCTGTTCAAACGAGGAGCCCTCGTACAAGCCCATATCGCTTTGTTAAAATTATAATTACGCTTCCTTGCTCCTCTTGAAAAGCTGATAGGTATTTTATCAACTAAGTTATGTGGCGTACAAGGAATTTAAGCATTTCTGTGAATTGTTTTGGTATATTGGATAACCGCCAAGCAATGTGCTAATGAGCGATACATGGGCTTAAAATTGCGGAAAATTAACTTTACAAGAAATGTAACAAAGCATGTTTGCAAATTTCGATTGAAGCATTTACATATCACTGGAAAGTGACAAGCTGTATTATGACATCACTTTGACTCGGCACTTTCAATGCGGGCTTATATCACAAAATTATTAAAATTTTGAAAACGGGTTATTTGCAAGACATTTGATTTATATGAAGGACAGAGAGGCATAATGTTTCGTAAATGAAATGCCGATGTTCACAAAGAGGGATAAGAAAAATAACTTTGGAAACTTTGCCCCTTGCGAGCAGCATCAATTACGTCTTCAAAAAGGATGGCACACTATTGTCCACAATGGGCCATTTCACAATTATCCTCGGTTAGAAGCATGGAATCATATTTCTGACCCGTATATGATTGCTTATCAGATAAAATTTGCATGCGTGGAAACATACCAACTACCCTGAGCATCCATCCCAACCACAAAACCCCCGGCCTCCGCCGGAGCTCGGCTCGCGCCCGTCACTTACATTCATAATCTCGGAGTAGGGATGCGGCGAGTCCCACACGTACTTCGGAAACTCCGGGTACCGTATTTTGTATTCGGCCAGATTCAGCGCCATGGCTGAACAGCACATGGGCGGCGTGCGTTCCCCGCTCTGCGGCCGCGACCTCACTGTTCCCGCTCCGAACGCCAACTGCCGACTCAGAGCCACCAGTCGCCGGAGGAGGCCGGAGGAGCCGTCCGCGACCTGCGCGCCCCTGGCGGCGCCGGGCGGAACTACTCACCGCCGAGGACGCAGCGTCGGGACGCGACGGGACGGTGAGGGTGGCTGGAGGGGCAGAGGTGGGGTGGGGTGGGTCACCATGGGAGCTGCGGATTAGTGGTAAGAAATGGGGACGTTATGGGCGAGAAAACGAGGCATCTGCCCAGAAGAAAGACCAGCCGTGGAAGACACAGGGCAAGCTGGAGACATTGGTTAAAATAATTGCCAAGAAACAGCCACGGATGCTTTACCAGCCAACAGTAACAGCGTTGGCTGTAACGAGCTGGATGATCGCGATCGTCATGCACGCTGAGCCACTGCTTCTGTAGAAAATGAAGCTGTCACCAGATGATGGACGTTATCATGCTGTCATCATCACGTCATTGTTACATTCAGGGAAGAAATTCGAGAATTGAGAGATAAGACTTATCGCTCACCATGAAACACTTCCCCGCTTCGAGCATATCCAGTTACCTGGCCACCGGGTCTGTGGGGGCACAGAGCGCATCGTATCACATCCGTCATTCCGGCTATACGGCCAGTCGGTCAACGGTGAACGGTGAAATCCGGAATTCGGCTAATCATTCATCGGAAGTGAGTTAAAACTTTTTATCAGTCATATAACTGAGGTGACTGACGATTACCTACCAGTCGAAGTTAAATAAGCTCTCTCGCCTAAGGCAAAAATCTCGCCTAAAAAGCGACAAGAACTTGACTGGTGACTAGCGTGCTCACGAGCTTCCAAAAAAGTGGCACGACACACGGCCAAAGTGCACACTGATGAGGGTCGGTCATGTCTCCTTTTTATGGGAGAAAATGCTCAACTATATACTTCCCTAAAAAATGAAATTCGTGAATTATGCATACAGACGTTTTGCCAGTAAAATCCTTTCGACGATAGTCTATGCAACAATGAAGACCGTTTGAGTATAGCAATATGTGATACTGTGTTTTTTCCTAGGCTACATTCCTATGACTAAGTAGGTGTCGACCTGTGGTAACGCTTTTATTGGTTGACAGTCCGTCTACGCCAGTGGCTGTGAGTTTTTGTTGACAGAGCTAGATATTCTTTTGACAGCGCAACCAGCTGTGTAAGTAAAGGCACAGACCGCTTCGACTGTCTCTATCACTATCAGCCACAGGCTAGCCCCTGGCAGTCATCCGCCCGACGGCCTGGTCAAACTCAGGATGACCCTCCCTAGAACACTGACGGACCTGAGGGACGTTTGAAGTAATTGCTGTCTTCTTGTCCTAGTCATCTGAGGCCAGGGACCTATTCATGCCGCGTACTGCGCTGTTGCTCGTGCTGCTGTGCCTTTGTTTCGTAATTCGACTTCGGTCGCTCACATGCCACAGTGTCACAGCCCAGGTGTCACAGTCTGGAGCCACAATCGTAGTGCCACAGTCACAGTCTAACGGCCGCTCCCTCGGCAAACAGCCTTCTGTGCGGGCGGTGGGCCTGTGCGCACCTTTTTACAATAAACAGCGCACCGGCCGGCCGACGCGCAAATACCGGGCCGAGTATAAACGGGTCCAATCGCCGGCGGCCGCGCACGGTTCTTGCGCGCTTTTTTGGCGCGCCGTTTATGCAATGCAGCCGTGTAGTTGGCGCGCTCGGAGAGGGCGGCCTGTTTGGCTCGGCCCGGTGTCGGCGCGCCCGGCTAGGAAATCAATGGGGCTCGAGCGGAGCGCGGCCGCCCCAGACCACACAGGTCTGTGTGCGTGCAGGCCGGCGTGGTGCGCAGTTGCGCGAGAGAGATAAGGCGAGTTGTGATCTTCACTCGGGGTGCTAAACTAGATGTTGAGCGCGGGTTAATGAAACGGATAAATCTGCCGGCGCGGTGTTGGCTTTGGCAACGACCGAAGTTCGCGAGCACGTGCGGAGCGGCGCGGCCGACCGAGGTGCGGATATGTGACAACCGCGGGGAACTGTAGTATAATCTGAAGACATCTCGGCCGCTGAAGTTAACAAGCACTAATGAGGATTTAATCAATAACGAGAGTCTGTGATTAAGCCATCACTCAATTGTCTATCAAAATTACAAGGCGTCATCACGTCTCTTGCACCTATGTACAGTATTTTGCACCATTTTTATGATGTTCTTCATCCATCTGTCTGTCTCGAGGGAGAAAGCTTGTCTTGTTATCCCTCTTAGGGTGGCTGTCGTGTCTGTCTGAGATGTCTACTTCACCGGCCGCCGTTTTCCTCCGTGTACCCGCCGTGTCCTGCCGTGTCTCGTGTCCGCTGTCCGTGTCCCCTCGATGTCCTGTGAGCGCTGCACCTCTCGTCTTTCGCTCTCCATCGGTATCCATGTCACGGCTCTCGCCGTGACCCTGAGCTCGCCTGCCGTCGCCGCCCGGCCGGTGGGACCGCCACGGCGACCCTCGGTCGGCACGTGCCGCTTGCCAGGTGTCCAGAGACCGGACCAGTCCGCCCCGCAGCTGCCCCGACCTCCGGCGCCGACAGCTGCAGCTCGCAGCTCAGACGGCCAGCTGAAGCTCGCAGCTGCACTGCTGAGTCGAGCCGTCACATGTTGAAAAGATTACACCGCGCCACATTCCGGATCAGGATCAAACTGCAGAAATGTTTCCGAAACACGTCGCATCGCGAACTCATCGTTCACGAAACCAGTTTCACAGAAGTTGTACTGAGCTTCTGTGGCCGTCTCAAATCAAAGTGTTTTCCGGTCTAGTTCTATGTCACCATCTGCCTCTTCACTTTTACGGACAAGTCGCGACATTCGGGTGCAGCACGCTTTACAAACAACAGAAGGACACACCAGATGCATTGTGCTGTCAACAAGAGCTCGCGCCCTAGTTCGATTCCCGAGAAGTCAGCTTGGATCAGAGGCCGTTGCTATGTTGGGAGCATGTCACCGTGGTAGCTGTGCCACTGAGCTCCGCCAGTGACGGTAGCACGGATGGCTTGTCTTCCCGTGACCAGCGACTGCAGAGGTCTGTGGCGAACCAACTCCGTCTAGCCTGTGACAAAACGATGCTGTTCTCGGCATGTGTTGGGTGACCCCAGCCGTAGCTCTGCATATGTAGCCCTGGCACTGTCCCATAACCGACCTCAAGCAACACACACAAAGCTCTGGTAGCGCTTGTTGGGGTGACGCATTCGACTCACACGCCGACTTTGATATTTTACGTTCGCCAGCAGATACAAGGAATCGGACAACTGTTGCTTCTAAAAGTTTATCATATAACACTTGGGTAAAATCGAAAGAAAAGCTGCGCTGCCTGCCTCCTCCATAATCGATGTGGCCGAATCGACCTCTAACTCGTTCCTCTCCGTCCACCACCACCACACTCAAGCGGCATCAGACATCAGTCTCATCAGTGACATCATCGCGACTGTGACGTTGTAACTAGGGAGTGCAACGGGTCCGGTGCATGGACGTCAGATCTGCCCTATCGGGGGGCCTCTTCCTGTTTCGGAGACGGGGTGAGGCGTTCAAACGGGGCGCCGCCTTATCACCGTCAGAGATGTCACGGGATGTGACGAGCGAACCGGTGTTGGCGGCGAAAACTGGTCCGGGCCGCTGCCCAGTCGGCGACCGCACCCAGAGACGAGCCATCTGCGGTGGTGTTTACTGCGACTCCCACATCAGTCATCAATAATCATCATCTAAAAAAAATGTCATGTGACAAAAGAGCATGCAAGCATGTATGAATAACTACAAATGAATGATAAACACTTCATTATGCATTGGTAGAGCCTCCATGGTGGCCAGTGGGCCAATCCCGACAAACAGGCGGAATACCTTAGAAAATACGCGGTCTGCGGTGAAGAAGAGAGGACAATCACCGAAGCCGTCCATTTGTGCCACATGACTGGAACTCACGACCGTGAGTGCTGGTAGGTGCCCTGACCAGGCAAGGACGGAAGAATCGAGTCCAAAGTAGGCAAGGACGTGAGACCCCAATACAGGCCATGGCAGGTAACCGGCTAAGCGCGCTTGTGGTAAGCCGGCTGGTTATAGCAACGACAGTATGGAACTGGAATCATCCTCTGGTAAAGGAAATGGTAAGCTGAATATAGGTAACGAAGGGGAAATGGTAGCGAACTAATGAAACGGAAGGGAAAGATAAAAGGAAAATACGGAGCAAGATGGTTGAGCGGGTAAAATAATGAACAATTTTGGTCAATAAATTATCGAAGATAAGATATGATGCAACATATACATTTTCCTATGTTGTATCATATATGATATATGAACAGATATGACGTAATGTTATCTAATGATCATAAAAAATGAAAAACTCAGACATGTTGTCCACCGACATACCGCGGTATAGTGATGTGACGTTATTGAGTCCGCCCGTTATACCGTGATCGCGCCGGTCGGGGCGCAGTAAACGGACCCCGCCTGTCACATGTTGAATGTTGATGTGACCCAACTGGGTCTGGTGGCCGCGACCACCCAGCTCCGTGTTTACACACAGACTCGGACCGCCGCGACCGGCCGGCTGGTCGGTAATGAACGAGGTCCGTCGGCTCCGCGCCGCCCCAGCTGCTTATTTACAGCCCAATAAAGGAGGCATCCCAGTCAGGAGTCACATGTCGCGTGCCGTGCCGAGTGCAGGCCGTGGCCGATGTCTCGGGGCCGGCCGGCTGATCCTGCTCGGGTGACGTGAACGGAGTGACTCACCCGCCGGTCACCTGCCGTCTGTAGGGGGGTTAGGGGGGGGGGTCACGTGCCTCTGACGCCGGTCCCACGCCCGGCGTCAGCTGTCCGTCCGCACAATGGCAGGCGTCCGTCAGACGAGGTCGGCGACCTAACGCCGCCTCTGGCACTCATGAGGAGGGTCGGATGGTGTCGATAGTGATGTTTGGTGCAGTTGAACTTACCACGTATGCTACCATAACCGTCCTCTCGACCTTCTAAGGAATTGACCTAACCCAGCCTAATCATTGATAGAAAAGCGTCA